TGATAAACCTAGACAGCATCTTAAAAAGCAGAGATATCACCTTGCCAACAAAGGTCCGCATAGTCAAAACTATGGTTTTTCCAGTAGCAATGTATGGAAGTGAGAGCTGGACCATAAAGAAGGCTGACTACTGAAGAATTGGTTCTTTTGAATTATGGTGCTGGAGGAGACTCCTGAGAGTCCCCTGGACTGCAAGGAGATCAAACATATCCATTCTGAAGGATATGAGTGCTCACTGGAAGGACAGATCCTGAAGCTGAGGCTCCAGTACTTTGGCCATCTCATGAGAAGAGAAGACTCCCTGGAAAAGACCCTGGTGTTGGGAAAGTGTGAAGGCAAGAGAGAAGGGGATGACTGAGGACAATATGGCTGTACAGTGTCATCGAAGCTACCAACATGAATTTGACCAAACTCCGGGAGGCAGTGGAAGACAGGAGGGCCTGGCGTGCTCTTGTCCATGGGGGGTCACGAAGAGTCGGACACGACTTAACGACTAAACAACAACAACATGTTTCACCTAGTTTACTCATAAGTAAGTTTAACCTGGTTTACTCATGAGTAAGGGACAGTAGCCAAGGACAGTTGCAGTGTGAAGGGAGAACACTGAGATAGAGGTTAGGGAGACAGAAGGGAGGTAACCTCTCCATTTCCCCCGCCTTTCTCTCTCTCTATGAGTTACTGCAATATTTCCATTAAGCTCTTGCAAACTAACAGCTGTGGCTTCCTTTATTGAATCAACCCATCTCAGGTTAGATCTTCCAATTTGTCTACTGGTGCAACCCACCTTTCCGTACACTTGTCACTTATGTATTTTCATTATATGTGCATGGTAGGTATTTAAAAGGATATTTAAAAAAGCAGAATAACATTCAGATGCTCACTCAATTAAGCTGTGTAATTACTGTTTTTCTCCTTTGTGGCTGGGGATGATCTGAAAGCAGGTTTTAACTGGTTTACTCATGCGTGTTGAAAAACAACCCTGACCATTGCTTTCTGTTTGGTTGAGAAGTGGCTAACTGATGAAAAAAGGAGTCAGCTTCTGGGATTTTGCCTTCCATGGTGTCACTTTGTGAATGGGAGTGAGCACAAGAGGCTGTCCTGCAGCAATCATGACTGCTGCCATTGGTGTTGTCAACATTCAGGCTGCCCTTTGCTATCTAAAGCTTTATATTCTTTTTCCTTTTGGCAATATGAGCATGATATTATGCAGCAATATATTGGGATATTTCCTGGCTTTTTGAATTGTGGTTACAGAAGCACAATATCCCACATTCATAAACCATAGGGTTTTTTTAAAAAAAGAAATTGATTTTTTTAATGGGTTTTGTCTGGATTCTGGCATATAAAGCCAAATGCCGTTTTCTTACCTGACAACTGTCAGTGCCACCATCAATATTACCCGCACAAAGTTCTGTGGCTTTCACTCTGTTGTTCAGAAATTCAGGCCGATTGCATATTTTATTTTCAATTACAGGGAAGCCAGTCTCTTTAAGTACGCCTTCTCCACCGGTGATCCTGCAAGTAAGAGAACGAAAACAACAACAACAACAGTTAAATGCAGGGAACAGTTTTGGAACATTAGGAATCAGTAAGAATTGTGGCATTAGATCTATCTCCTGATGTTATCCTTGTTTCTACAGAATCCTTTTCAAAGATAATATTTCTCCATTTTATGAGATGAGACTAAATGATAGTCTAGTTTACTTTGGCAGCTTAAGAGACACAATGGTAAATAAGGACAGAGTGCAAGAGTTTTGAAAAGCTACTCTTCGCCCCCTGCCCAGTTTCATCTCACATTCCCTTGGACGGTTCCAGAAGTTACTGTTCAAGAAAGTAACTTCTCTAAACACAATCAAGTAACATCACACCAAACTTTAAGAGGGTGACTGGACCAAGTTCAGAGGAGGGCAACAAGGATGATAAGGAGACTGGAAACCAATCCCTATGAGGAACAACCGAAAGAACTGATCATGTTTAGCCTTGAGAAGATTGAGGTCAGATGTGATAGCATTTTTCAAATACTTGAAAAGTATACAGGGGAGGATCTGGATCTGTTTGCAATCATTCCAGAGTGCTGCACATATAATAATGGCTCAAGCTACAGGAAGTCAGATTTAGGCTGAATATCAGGAAAAAAAAACTCTTCACTGTTAGAGTAGAACCAATTACCTCGGGAGGTAATAAGCGCTCCAATGCTGGAGGCACTGAAGACAAAAATCTGGACAGCCATCTGTCAGATTTGCTTTGACGTCTGCATTGAGAAAGGTGTTGGACTCAATGGCCTTATGCCCTTTCCAACTCAATTGTTCTATGATTCTATGAATACATGAAGCAGTGGAAGTCCAGAAGAGAGATGACAGTGAGCACATCATTAAAAAAAAAACCCTACATGCCTTTGCATGTAAGCTGCAACTGTTGTTTTGGTGGGCTCTGAGTTTTCCCAAGACTGTGCTATCAAAGCAAAACAGGTCTGCACCTGAAGGAGAAATTACTTGGGGCAATCCAAACGAAGTTGCTGGGAGATGCCCAGGTTGTGTGATAGATCGGTGTAAGTATTGTTCCTCATTGCTGATTTTTTCAATGGGAGCTATTTGTACTTCTCTCATGAGAAAATCTAAATACTCGACATCAATATTTTTGCTCTGAGGTGCTTACCTGCACATTGAACTACAGGTGTGCTCTGAGCAGATGCAGACAACTCCATCATAGACAATAGAGCATGCAGACTGCTAGACTTTATGCCCTTACTGTGCATACATCTGCTTAGCCATGGTTCAGGCATGAAGCCATCCTGAACTAAAATGAAAAACTTCTAGAAAGGATGAATTCATGCAAACAACCTTGTACATAAGATTAGATTCTTAGGAAAGTAAAGTACACATTGGAAATTCCAGTTACACTTGTGCCGGCTGTCTTACTTTTTGAAGTTTGAAATCCTTCTATACCTATGTACTAAGCCAGATACCTGCCTCAACAAAACAGTCATAAAGACCAACTCTCCATGTGAACTCACCCTTCAGTGAACTATCTTAAATTTTGTTGCATAGCTGTGCTATGTGTTGCAGGTTTGAATTTCTGGTTAAATTGCTATAGCTGCCCAGCAAAAGTGCAAGAATTCACAGAGAAGAATTAGCTTCAAGTTCCCCAGCGTAGTCCACCCCTTTTTCTCATCATTAGCTGCCACTTATAATCTCAGTAACTCACTCTGATATATTTGTAATAGAAAAGAATAAAAAGCATTTTCCTTATTTACAGTTCTGAACAGATCAAACAGCAAATTAAGAAAACCTGTCTGCTTTCAGCAATAGGCCTCAAAAGACTACCTGCTTCAACAGACTGACTGACTGCTTCAGTAGACTTCAGCAGACCCCTAAGAGGGAAAAAGCTCTTAGCAGGAAGATGTACCTCTCTTTGAAATCAGAGGAGGAAAGGAACAATTGGATAGTGCTGGATAGATTGACAGTCATCCCAGCCCAGAAAGATCCGTCCCAGACACACCTACTAGAGGCAGCACGCAAGGCTGCAAAATCTTCAACATGTACTTCATCTTCTATTTAGTTATAAGAGAAAGTATCTCCCATTAAGGAAGAAAAGAAACCAATCACCACATTCTCTAGGACCATGAGTAGACAGGCTTTCAAGCTTCTGCATAGGGAGTGACATTATGTTATGGGGAATATATATATACAGGGGAATCTATATCTATCTATGTACTGTATATCAATCTCCAAAGCTTTCTAATGGGCACATAGACAAATATCAGAAAGAAGGAGATAAAGATAGTGGAGTGGGATCAGGAAGAAGCACAGATCACTGCTCAGGGGCTTTGGAGTCACAGAATGGCAACTCACCTTTTGTATCACCCCATCCAGTGACATAGCATTCTGCTCCACCTGCTACCACTGAATTGGTTGAAGGTAAACATGCTGGAATTACTTCATCCGTGATCATTACAGGACTGGAGGAGAAAGATCCAAGAAGCTTTTATTTGGTTTTACTGTCTCTTTATTACAACACTTATTTTTAAGTAGAATACAGTATATAGCTGCTCCTTGTACATTTTTCCAGCCCAACAAACTTTGATCAATCCAGCCCAGAGCAAATATTTCACTTTAATGGAACAGTATCAATTCAGGTTTCATTTTTCAATGGCTATTGCATCATAACAATAATAAATACATATGTATTTATAACAATATAACAATATAACAATATAACAATAATACATACATACATACATACATACATACATACATACATACATACATACATACATACATATACATATACATATACATATACATATACATATACATACTGTATACATATACATATACATATACACACATATAGAGAGAGCGGGATGTGGTAATAGGAGGGCTGAAGATGAAAACAGTGACCCAAGGTATATCTACCTGCTTAGTTTCAGCAAGGCAATGTCCGCTCCATGTGGTTCTTTGAACATGCTCTGAACATTTCGACGTTGTGCAGATGACTCTAGAGCCCTCTCGGTATGGATTCCTACCACCACTTTGTAAGCAGCAGGCCTCGATGACCTGCAAGAGGCAGATTTAACTCTGTGAGAATATCTCCATATAAGCCAGTGTGGTGCAGTGGGAAGTATCAGAGTGGGACTCAGGAGACCTAGGTTTCAATCCTCGCTCGGCCATAGAAACTCCCTGGGGTTAGTGATAATAAACCAAAAGTCAGAAGCAACTCAGTGGCGCAGAACAATAACAGCAATTGTTTGTCAATCTATTCACCATGGCTGACAAGGGCATCCTTTTCTGAAAGGCTCCAACAGAAATTAGAAACCTGAGCCAACATTTTGAACCTACCCCCACAGTGCTGCTATGCCTCTCACAGCTTATGGGCTACCCTGAGCCTCCAGAGATTGGTCCTGTGGCCAGTTGACAGGAACTGTCTGGGAGTCTATAGGCAGTTGCAAAAGAGATGTGCTGGCTTTAGTAAGGCTGAAATAGAAGCAGCCCTTTTCACCACTGATTTTTTTTTCATGAGAAAAAGGAAAAAAACAGAATATTAAATTTTTAACAGATGAGAATCAATTCTTACTCTTACCCTACAAAGAAAAAGGACATAGGTAACAATGGGGGCTCACTAATTTGGTAGTTTTACTTTAAATGTTGTGGGTTTGGATACATTGTGATTAAAAATTGCTCAATTCTGGTTTTAAAAATGAAATGAAATTCTCGCCTATTGCTTAGAAAAAGTTATACTTGTACTGTACAGTAGTTTACATTACAGTATGATCAGTATATTTTATATAGCGGTGGGTGAGAATTTCATTCCATTCCATGTCTTACCAAAATTTATCAGAAGAAGTCAACAAAGGAGGCTGCATTATACCACCAAATCATGCTGTTGTTTCCTAAGGTCTCTATAATGTCTACTAGACTGACTGGCTGGCTGGCTGCAGCTACTCCTGGTTTCAGACATGGGTCTTTTCCTTACCTTCCACAGACTAAGGACTGAAACAAGAGCTTCTGCGTGGGAAATATTTGACCTCTCACTGAGCATTTCCTATTTGACATAATTCAAACTCTGAGAAGGAGAAGCCCCGTCCATGTTTTGCCTTCCCCTTTTTCAACTGTAGGTCTAACCCAGCAGGCTCCATTACGTATCTCTTGAGGGTCAGTCTTATGACCAACAATCTCCCTATGAAACAACTTTACTGAAACAACTTCCAGCCATTTTTTCCAGGAAGTCCTAGAGTGAGTTTGTTTGCAATATCCCCAGGGTTTACAGCACTCCTCATATCTTCTCTCCTTTCTTAACCAAGTGGGCGGGGTAAGCATGGTAAGGCAGAGAGGAAGAAAGCCACCAATCTGGTGCTCAGGAGGCATATACGCAGAGTGAAAGCACATGGGAAATCAAATCCATATTCATATACAAATGTTTTACAATACTTACTTTGCTCATTCGGGGAGGGGGGGAATACTATGTGATTCTCATAATTCAAATCAAGAACAGAAGATTAGAACTAATAACATACACCAAACTATATAATGTCTGAAACTATAGTTCAGTTGATATAACTGAACATTTTCCTTGCTCCAGGTCCTACACTATGTCCCTAGGGCAATAATAGCTCCTATTATAATAAAATTCTGGCCCTCAAATAGGGTTTAATTCCCATTAGCCCTAGCTAAATTGGCCAGTACAGTAGTTATTTCACTAAGTTGGGTGATCTGTAAGATTTAAATAAATAAATAGTTTTTGTTCTGCTTTGTCCTTCTTTTGGTATTTTTTTAAAAAATTCTCTTAATAAAGCTATCTGAAAGTGGTTCATTCATGAACTTGCTTCAGGCCAGCATTTGTCAAATGGCAACATAACAGATTCTAACATGTTATAATAAATACAAATAAACAAATAAAGTGAGTCATACCTGACGTCAACCACATTTATAATGTGTGATATGCTACCCTTGGAATGTTAATGAAGGGTGAGGTATGAATTTTTCTGATAACGATAAATTAATTACCTTAGTAATTAATTACATTGGTGTAGTGTAGTAACCATTGGTACTACATTGGCAATTAATTACGTTGGTGTAGTGTAGTAACTGTTTCCATGGAAAGATCACAGAATAGGACAGGGACGTTATATTATTTGTCTACAGTGATGGCAAACCTATGGCACACGTGCCACAGCTCACACGCAGAGCCCTCTCTGCAGGCACGCAGAGCCATAAGTTGCCAGATTGCTCCCCACCCCACAGCCAAACCTGAGGTGGCAGCTACAGCCACAGTACTGGCGCTTTGACAGGTGGAAGGCCAGAATCCGGAGCAGCTGGTGCTGGCGGTGGATCCGGAGTGGGGTCTTGAGGCACCTCTGTGCCTGCAATTCCCCCTTCCACCACCCCTTCTGGTTTCGCCGGTTTCGCCGCTGCCCGCTCCCCCCCCCCCAGTTTGGGCACACGAGCCCAAAAAGGTTTGCCGTCACTGGTCTACTCAGAGAAAACTGCACTTACTTTTAAGAAATGCTTACCGTTCTAAGCAGTGAGTTGCTGTCAGAACCCACTGTGGATCTATCAGTGTGCCTCCACAGAAATGCATGTTGAAACTAAAAGAAAGGGGAAAGGCAGAAGATTCAGATGAAGCAGATCAAACTTCGCACAGGGTTCTAATGAATTATACTGCTTTCCTCATGGACAGGCATTATGCAGAACTAGAGATTGGCACAAACTATGGTTCAGTGGTTTGGTCCAGTTTGGCGTGGTGCCTGTACAGCGGTTCCACACATGCTGTGTGCTTCTCTCCCTCCTTTGTGTTTTCACCCATTCACGGGTGGCACCACACTTCCCTCCCCATCTCCCTGGTGGCCCACCACTCACGGGCAGCAGTGCATGCTTCCCTACTCCAGTAGCCACCCACTCAGACAAGGAGTTGGACAGGGAGGTCTGTGGCTCCACCTCTGAGTGGGTAGCTCCAGAGGAGGCAGAGATGTGCGCACTGCTGCTGGTGAGTGGCCACTGGAGGGGGCAATGTGTGCTGCCACCTGTGAGTGTGTAATTTCATGAAGGAAATGGAGGAGGGAAGTGCACGGCACCTGCAGAACACCGGTGTGAGTGCTGCAATGAACTGCCCTGAACTGCCAAAGTGCAGTTCATGCCCATCTCTATGCAGAACTAGTCACAGCTTCCATCTTGAGGTTGTTTAATGTAAGCAGAACTGTGCTGTGTTCTTACACAGGGGCTGCACTCCTTTGCATGCTTATCTGAGACAAACAAGCTCCATAGTCTGTTACAGCAAAATCCACAAAGACCTTTGTGAAGACTAGCAGATTTACTACAACATAGGCTTTTGTGAACTAGCATGCACCTTATTCATTGTGCAAAATACTGTCCCCAATTTTTTGCACAGTTCCTTCAAAATAAGATCAGATCTGCAAATGAAGCCCATGTTTGCCTCCTGATGACCAATCACAAAGCAAAGGCAACCTAATCTGCAAAATGCAGATTGAAGTAAACTGCTGCTAGGACAATCAGGTGTTATTTATCACTTCAACATGCTTTGCTTCTAATGGTATGGTAACTTTATTGTCTAATTTGGACTTTGTGTACTAATCATACAACCACACAAACAGCAGTCACAAATTAAGATTTTATCTCTTCTATATACCAAACGTGGGAAGCATATTTACTGCTTGGTAGAAAGATACATTGATCGAGCTATCCAATGTATGATAACTCAACCCAGAGGAATGTACTTATCTTTATTTTAAGTGAACTGTACTGTATGCCTTTTCTTCCTCCTTAATTCAAGCTGCCTCAATGGAATAAGGACCTCAAATAAAGTTAGAATTCTCCCTGAAGAATTTTATAGCCACACGAGACTCTTTATCATCCGCCACAAGTGAGATTGCCCCTGACAATCTTTGTAAGTTTTTGCAAAATGTCTCTATAATTTCCTGTCTCTTTAAGGAGCAAAGAACAGAGAAAACAAACATAGAAGGAAAAGCTATTAAGAAAAACAAAAACAATCCAACTAGGTCTTGGGAATTCTTAAAAGGGGGAGTGGTCATTCTATTCAGGCCATAAAATCCCATTTTCTGCCAAAATGAGCTTGTGCAAGAATAGGACAAGTGAGGGCTTGTGCCGGCCTTTGGAAATAATAAATTTTAGCTACTGTACTTACATCCCTCAGTAGAATGCTATGGATAGTTATACATTTTTATGGTATCATAAAACTTTGTGGCATTTACTACAGCAGACAAATAATATATCCTTCTGAAAAGTTATTTCTCTCAATAATGCATACATGCTATTTCTGTTCTACTCCCTGCTTGCTGCCGAACACCCAACTTTATATTATGAATTTGATAACATATCATTATATAGTTTTTAATACCTTGTTCGGAGACTGATCTGCCAGGGCCAAGAATGGGGATTTGAAACACACCCGCCCACAATCCTTCCAAAACACAGCTGTGGTACATATTTGGATTTTCCACACTCATATTCAGGAGAAGCTAAAGAATTAACGGTAGAGACACAGAAGTGTGTAGTATAGCAGTCAGGATTACAAACATCTCAAATATCAGAACAAACTGTTCCTTTAGAATTCTGGGGGGCGGGAATAATTTTTCTCCTCAATAACTCTACAGAACATTATCTGATCCCAGTTCCTGCACTAGCCTCTTCTGCTCCCCAGGAGGATTAAAAACAAGAGTAACAATCCTCTGTGACTCCTGTCTGATTCTGGAATAGTGTGGATTGAGTAGAGACAACTCACTCCGCAGAGTGCCCACCTGGCGAAGCCACTCAGAGCTCTGTCCTATCAACGGGACCTTAGTCAGCTGGTTTTGATTCTGAAGTAATTTTTAATAATAATCATGTGCCATTAACTCAACTCTGACCTATGATGGCCCGTTTCAGATTTTCCTAGGCAAAGAATACTCAGAAGTTGTTCACCACTCCCTTCTTCTGGGAGTGCCCTAAGACTGTGCAGCGTGCCCAAGACCACACAGGCTGCACAGAGAGGAATCAAACTCCCAGCCTCTCACTCCACAGCCGGATACCTAAACTACTTAAAAACACATGCTGAAGTAGTTTTGGCCAACACCAGCGATACCTAAACTACTGAGCTATCTAGCCATTTTAAAAACACATGCTGAAGCAGTTTTGGCACACATAAAATGGCCAACACCAGTAGGTGATCTGTTTATTATACTTTTGAAGGAGTATTTCCAGCTCTTTCAACTTTGCCCCCAGCATAGTAACAAACGGGTGCTGCAAAGATTATGAAATCAATGCACTGCGTAAGAGTACAGTGAAATAAAACTTAACTAGAATTTAAAAAAAACAGTTTTAAAAAAACTGTATGCACTACATGCAGTGCCCTTGGAGCTTATGCCCAAGTAGCTGTACACAGGATTGGAGCATTTGTCAGGTTCACTCCTCCTTGCCTGCCTCAGTATGGCAGTTAAGCTTAGAAATTACACCTCAGTCTCATGAGGATGGCTTTCTTCCCAAGCCTGACTACTACATTAAGGGAGGGCATATTTTTGGTGAATGGGATAAGGCAGAGAGAAAGAGAGAGTGAGAGAAAGGGGAGAAGAGTAGAAAGAGACAGCCACAGGGGAAGAAGGCAGAATAAGAAAGAGGGGAAGACAGTGAGAAACAGATGGTGTAGTAGAAGGAAGGAAATCTGTCTCTTACTAGCCACTAATTCTGTCCCATTGCCCACATCTGGTTTGGCCCCGCCCACATTGGTATGTGGCCCCTGAGAGAGCCTCCTGAAGAGAATGTGGCCCTCAATATCCAGAGGTTTTCAAACCCTCTGGTACAATTTTGTAAGCATACTTACGGCACTGTGGGACATCACAATATTCCCATGCTTTATTTGGGTCTGTGGTATAGCACCAAGGACCATTAACGTCATCATCAGGATTTCTGCAATACTATTTAAAAACCAGAGTAGAAATACTGTAATATGCATAAGAGAATTAAACAATCCCTATCTTTGTATGTTCATTAGTGGAACAAACTCATAATGCCAGAGGCAAGGCTTTATATTTATTATTTTCCTAATTAAACTAAATCAAAACTTCAGTTTTGAAAGTTGTGACAAAGGAATTATCAGGAAGGATGGTTGAAAGGGCAATCTAGAAGGATGGGGGATGCCACTGTAGCATTGCTGAGCTGTTTTTTTTTTTCCTTTTAAAATTTTTTTAAAATTCATTTTCTATTGGGTCAGGGAAGGCAGTAGGAAAGGGGATTTGGGACTAGGTAAAGGATAAATAAAACATACAAAATGTGGCAGAGAACAATTTATATCATTATTGCTTTTACCTCTATGATTTCTTACTAATCTTACTCCGCACTAATCTTGCCAAATTTTTCTAAGTCTTTAAGATTTACATTTACATCTTAAGTTTTCTTTCTTATAATCTTAACCCATCCATGTTCTCATCTCTCATCCAATTATACAAAAGTTCCCATTTTTTTCTAGCCTCAACAATTTCTTTGTCCTTTTATACTGCAGTTCAACTATCCATCTCTGCTGCTTCGAAAGCTTTTTCTGTTAACTCCTGGATTGCTGGTGTCTCCTCATTTTTCCAGTGTTTTGCATATAAAATTCTTGCTGCCGTAGTTACATGTATGATCAAGTATCTTTTTTTCTTTTTCTATCGACTCTGGTACTATATTCAACAAATACAGTTCAGGTTCATATGGAATTGTACAACATAACATTTATTGTAAAATCCCATGAACTAATTTTCCAAAGCTTTTAACTTCCCTGCAAAAGAACTACCTTCTTTTCATTTACATTTCCAACATTTGTTGGAAGTATTCTGATATATTTTTGATAATTTTTCAGGTGTCATATACCATCTGTAGAACATCTTATATATATTTTCTTTATAATTTACTGATTTTATTAACTTAATATTATTTTCCCATACTTGTGACTATGACTCCAGGTTGAACTGTTGAGAGCCATTGTAAACATTGTGCAATACTGTTTGTTTCTCTATATTTCTCAGATCCGCTCAACTCCTGTACATAATGCTACTTACATTTTTTTCTAGTCCTGATCGTGGATGAGAGACTGGTGTGAAAGAATCATGTCGATGAGGTGTCTGTAAATGCCACTCTTGGCAAGTCCTGCCACCTGATGTTGATGAAATCTTCCCACGGTAATCTTTACCATTTCCAGTTCTACATTCTTTAGAAGGAGAAAAAAGATGAGTGAGGTTTTGCTCTTACCTCAGGAGCATATCCATGCTATAAGCATCCTTCTCTTTCTCTAGAAAACCTTGTTTCCATGTATGGGGGTCGAGGGGGTGGTAGTCAGGGAGCTGAAAATATAAGAACAATGTATCTGCCAGAAACAAAACATTGTATGGCATGAAAGAGCAAGGTACATGAAAAGGCACAGCTGCACCAAGAAGCAAAAAATATCAGCTCCTAGGTGTTAACCAAGTGTAATTGAGTTCAGCGAAAAACTTGAGCAGTTCCTCTTTTTAGCCGGGAACAAATAACAGAGTCTCATCTTTTTTGCTCAATGTGTTATTAAAGTCAACAACAGGAGAGTCCACAGCAACTTCAATAGGGCCAACTGTGCCAACATTCAACATGGACTCAGTCCAAGACAACCTTGATTTTTTATTCAACTTCTCTTCATTTACTGGGGGGCTGGTCCAAACCATTCACGGTTTGTAGGCTTCCTCAAGGGAGTCTTCTGGACTGCGCAAATTGTCTCACAACATGGGTGGCGGGCCCAATCTCCTTTCAACTTGGAACTGACAGGTATAGGTCCTAGGCGAACCACCTTCTTCAAAGGACCGTGTCCCCTCAGGAAGACCACCACTGTCCATTCTAAGGAGACTGGTAACACTTCTCCAGTCTCTACATTAGGCGGATCAGGTAACAGCCCTCCAACTTTTAGATTAGGAAAGTCAGCTAACAATTCTCTAGTCTTTACATACACTTCTCCTGGTTCTCCCTCTATTCTGGTCTTTTTTCCCCTCCTTTTAACTTCTCCTTTATAGGTATTCCAAAGACTCGAGACCCCCTTTGCACCTCCTCCTTCTTCCTCCTCCCAAATTGACAACTGTTCTATCTTCTTCCCGCCTTTTTCCTCTAAAGTTAGAAAACCCTCTACTCCCTTTTTCTCTCCTTTTAACCCCGCCTCCTCTTTCTCCTTGACACTCAGATTTTTCATCCCTCCTGTCACTCCCCCTGTTGCCTTCTCTTTTTCTTCTGTCTCATCGGTATGAGGGGACGGCTCACTCACTCCTCTTTCATTTACATCTCTCACTCCTTCACACGAAGTTTCCTCTTCTTTTCTTTTTTTAAAACACATTGGCGGTGGATTTAAGCAAAAACCTGATGAAAGGAAGGCTTAATCCTCCATTTGTGCTGGTCCCAACCCAGACTGGGGCCATGTGTACTAACTGAACAACAACAAAAAACAAAAACGAAAATGAAGAGTGTTCTTTACCTGAGAGGTACATATTGAGCACATTGTTTGACCCCAGTCACATCGAATGAGACTATTTCAGAGTAGACACAAATAAGCTTGCATTGAATATTTGTATTTTAAAAATAGAGTGGCCCACTGAAAAATTAATCTTTGAGAAGAAGGAAAATTAGATGATGATTAGGAAGAAAGGTTGGTGACAAGAAGCTGCTCTGTATACCAGGGAAACCAAAGTGATATAAGTGTTTAATCCTAAATGGCCAGCTGGCATGCAACACTGAAGGAGTTTATGTTGTTGTTGTTGTTTTTTTTTTTAAATCTAAATCTAGTATGGAATACAATTTAGTAGAAAAATACTTTTTCAGACCTTCAACTATTTTCGTAAATACATATTCTGAAGCTGCAGGACAGTCTAAAGGCCTATTATTTGCATACGTAGGTCTCAACAAACAGACCTTAATAAACATACAGTAAATAGAACACATACAATAAATAGAACAACCTTGTAAGAGGTTAACTAACTTGATTACAACCTAATTATTCCACTGGAAAACCCAAACCTCTAGGCACATATTCTCCTGTGATATTCTGCCATTATTTCCATCAGTCATTTAAGACATTATTTATGGTCCTCTGATTTGGGACAGTTCTAGCACTGAAACCAAAATTTGACTTTTTCATTAATAGTATAATTTAAGAATAAATGAAATGCAATTCTTGACAGTACAGAAGACTGAAAATATGACTGTGTTAGATCTCATTATTAGTAAAAAGGCACAATATAAATTAATTAAATAGATAAAGCAGAGTGTCTTATAACTCTCTGAAATGCTCTTCTACTTACTGAATATGAATACTGTATAATGTAAGAAATAAATTGTATCGCTTGTAGGATACAATTTATTTATTATATTACATTCATATTCAATAAGTAGATTTTAATTTTATGACAATATATTCACTGAGTATTAAGTCAAAATTCAAACCACTGGCCTCTCAGAATTATTCCTTGACAATTGTACTTTATTTTAAATTCATTCAATATATTGATTCCCCAGATTAAATTCATTCCTCTCTTCTAACGGATAGATCTTCTCCATTTCTCCGTAACACAGAAAACCAAGGGTGTCAAGTGTTAGTCTTTATAGAAGAATGAGAAAGAATGTGTACTAAGGAAAAGAAAACTGCAGGACAGAGGCTTCTGGAGGAGTGAGGGTAGAAGGAATCAATGTCATGTCCTCTACAATGGTTTCAGTCAGATCTTCAGGTTCCCCCTGCTGTGCAAAGGTCTCTGTGGGCAGTGAGGAGCATCCTCCAGAAGAGTGTGTGTGTGCGTGTGTGTGTGTGATGGTGGTGGTGGAGGAGGAGATGAGCACGAAAGGAAGAGACAGGAACGCACATTACCGCTTTTAAAGAAAAAAAAATGTGCCTCGCTGCCCTGCCAGATCCAAAACAGGAGAGATGTCCAAAGGCAGCACAATCCTTCTTCAGCTCAAAATGATTATGGCTGCCCTACCTGAGGCGAGGCAGGAGAACCTTCAGTCCTCCAGAGGTTTTCATCTTCAGCTCCCACACGATCCCGTACCTTGGGCCACATGGGCTGGGATCTCTGGGAGCTGGAGCCCAAAACTACACCCCCCAAAGTGCCAAAGGTTTGCTGGTTCTCACTTACGGGCTATTTTGTTTTCTTGGTTATCTGTTCTGGGGAAAGAAGTCATACCCGGGTTTGTTGTCAATGTGGGCTTAGGCTGTTGCTGTGCAGGATCAGGACACTTTTGCAGATTGCAGAACTCCCATCTTGTCATGGGATCAGTGGTGTAACACCAGGGGGCCCGATCGCCATCTGGGTTTCTGCAGTAATTTCTCCTCAGGTCTCTATAAATGTAAACATAAAGTGTCATTTTTATCGTTAAATGTCCGAAGGTATCCCACATTTTGACAGAAATTTCTTTACGTGTTTCAATCAGTGTATACCAAAGGGGTATACTTTGCCTTTGGCCCTGAACCTAAGGGTTGCAGCCAAGATGGCTGAGGAGGCCAGGCCAACTCCTTACCAGCATCCGTTGGCCTTTGCAACCACACTGTTTAAATAGTTTTGATGAAATCTTGAGAGCAAGCTAGTGTTAAGCCTAACATTTGTCCTAATTCTCAAAGATTATTAAAATTCTATGTAAAAAGATTACATAAATTACATAATGGTGTTGAATAGAAATATATATTTGCAATAATGAGGTAAAAATCTGCAATTTGTTCATTTAACCTCTGTTGGTGGTGAAGCATTATATATAGGGGGCAAGCTCTGGAGGTCTCAGGCTGTTTTTAGTCCCCTGGGCCGCTCAGGGTGAACCTCAGCCATAAAAAAGCACCCTTTTCCTTTGAAAAAAAAGGGCAACAGGAAAGATATGCAAATTGTTTTACAGAAAAAGTGCCAGGGGAGGAATTAACATTTCCCCCCATCCTGTTCTGTGCTTGGGGTAGCTGGGGGTGGGGTGGCTACATATACAGACACACACACACACACCCCAAGATTGCCACCTCTCTATTAAACAAAGCATAGGTTGTTCTATAAAACAGTATTGGGTGTCACTGTGATGCTGAGAAAATGAAAATACTGTATACAAGTTCAAGCTGTCTTTCAATATCACAGCATCTCCATTTTAAAAAGAATGATATGCATTACTGTATCATCATAATGTCAACGAGAGGTTTAGAACTATAAAAACAGTGGCCCAACTCTAACTAGCCAAGATGGCCGAAGGCTGGCTGAGCAGACACTAAGCAAGCTGAGACTCTGCTGAACCATTGTTGCTTCAAGATGTTGGAAATGAATTAGGATTGCCATGACTCTGGCCTAACTTTGTACAAGCACAGTAGCTACCTGGTTTCATCTAGAGCTACAATTTTTACAGAAATCTGAGAGTAGCTGGTACAAGATGATTATATCAGTACCAAGACAGTTGTTCTGGCATATTCAGCCTAATTCACTACATTCATTGTTCAGTTCTCATTGCAAAGTGAATCTATTTTTGAAGGCAATCTTTAAGGAAGGATTGCTGCCTTAAAAACCAGATCTTTTGCTAGGAATTCAACACAATTCAACCACATTTTGTGGTTAGGTGTTCAGTTTTTATTTTCAGATGCTTACGAGCAAGAAGAGGTCTTTGTGAATTTTTTTTTGTCTTTTCTGATAAAATTGGTCTGCTTTAGACATTCCATTCACCTTGATTTTAGTGGACGAGGTCAGGTTAATGCTACACCTCCGCCAACAAAATGTCTTGGGTCAGCCAGTCCTGTTTCCCAGCTAACTAGGAAGAGTACAAAATGAATCATGTGCCCAGAGAATCTTGCTGCCCCTTGTCTTGCCCTTACCTTATGTTACCTACAAGGCCCATGAAAAATGACTGCACACAATTTCTGAGGAAAACTGAGTGAAACGTACGCGTTTGGGAATGCAGATGGGGTTTTTTGGTGACGATGGGGTGTCATTGAGCTCCATGCTTGGCATTTCCTTCCAGAGGCAGTCATCGCCATGGTACCCCGATAATTGGTGCCAGTGCCTTCATAACAGTCCTGGACAGATGGCCCTTGCTCAGGAATAACAGGAGCTGCAACTATATTAAAACAAAACATCCTAGATCTAGAAATAAGCAGGGGAATGTATTTTCCCCCACACATACAATAACCTATCTTGTTAAGCCCCCCAATCCTTCAGGAAGATGTAGGTTGCAAATGGAAAAGAGCTACTGGAGATGTACTTGAAGACCTTCTGAGCTTTTTTCTCAGTTATTGATAGCCTTTCCTTGTTGTTTGTAGATGGATAGTTTCCCATGGCAGTGTATTATTCATACTGATCTGAATTATTTGTTGTTGATTTGAAACATCCTGCTTTACAATATTGCTTAAACAGTTGTCCTAAAGCTATTTTGTCAGAAGAAAGTTCCTCTCAGTTTAATGGCATTATTTCCTGATACATATTTCTTTATTTTATTTGCATTTCTAACATCCTATCCTCTCATGCTTACAGGAACAAGTGAAAAATGCAAGAGATAAAAGCAAAACATTAAAGTACTCTTTGAAAATATAATACACAAAATAGGCTGGTGCTGAAAACCAGCCAGATTCATCAAATTCATTATTTGCAATGCCGAACCAAGTTCCGAGACCTGCTTATTTTTGAAGGAGAAAACAAGTTGTTCAGTCCAGATCAATTACCAATGCACAAGTGTAACTTTTCTTACCAGTTGGACTGTCACAGCTAGGAATAGCACAATATTCCCATCGTTTATCTGGATTGGTGGTATAACACCAAGGCTTGGTCTCTCCATCAGGGTTTCTGCAGTAGTTTTCTTCCAAACCTCTGAAACACATTAAAAAGCTTATGCGTCAACATCTCCACATGTGCTTTAAGAGGACCAGAGATCTAATTGTTTAGGGCAGTGCCATAATGCATCTTCAGGACATCAAAATGCAACCCAGTGTAAACTGCAGTCATCTGAGATTCAAATGTCAGGTGGATGTTTTGTCTGATTTTATAGCACTGTGCTGAAAGATGCCCAGTGACAGTCATCAGAATGAAAGCTGGTACACAAATTTAGAACACCAATACTGTATTCATAATGAATTACAATTGCTGCCCAGTTATTTGATTTTTAAAGAGATTAAGAAAGATGGAAGGCACACTGTAATGGGATAAGCATCTGTGAGTGCATTTTTTATTTTAAATGTCTATTAGTGCTTTCCACTCCAGAAGCCATCCCAGCACTATTAGTCTTTATGGGAGAGGGATAAAGGGGGGAAGGGGAAAATGGGAGTTATTGTTATGGGGAGATAATGGTCAGTCCACAGGTTTATAGACACAGAGCATATGGCAGTAGTTTGAGGGCCAAGTGAGACTGGAAAAAGGTGAGAACAATTACATCGATAATGTACTCTCAAACTAACAATGTCATTGTTAACAATACAGTGAATATTAGAAATATTGATTATATGTATATATTAAAAACCCTGACTATACAGAAATCCTTAAAGCAAGGAGGTGAATATTATCCCTAAAAGCTCACACTGAAATTAACATTTTAGAACAAAAAGTGAACATGATTTTATGACACCATTTACATATTTGCAAATTCACCAATTTGATACAATATTTGATCATTAAAATTAGGTGACAAGAATTTTAGGTCATTGCCTCCTGGTTAACAACTAAAGTCTTATGAATAGCAATATTATTTGTAACATTTTCCTTCCAGGCTCTGATCTGAAGCAAGGCAGCACAGTATGCTATATATTGCTAGTTATTTTGCACTAGTCATCACTATGGCGACAAGGCGCAGGTCACAATGGGTCTGTTTAAACATACTTGCAAGGGTAGTTTTCTGGAGTTCTAGCATGTGCGTGAGGTGTTTGGGCTGCCCAGGATTGACATGTTGCTCCTGATTCTGTGACAGCAATTTTCCCTCGATAGTCTTCTCCCCTTCCTGCAAGACACTGCCGCCCCACAGTGGAGACTGGAGGTGGCGTAGCTGTATCAGGAAAGAGAATGAAATCACTATTTTTAGAATATGTAATAGGAACAAATCAAGTACAAAAAGATGTACTGCTATCTGTAAGATAACCATGCTGAATAAGATCAAAAGCATATCTTTTCCATAGTAGTCAACCCGATGCTTAGTAGAAATCCACAAGTAAGAGATGCATGAGCGCCATACCTCTCTTTTGTGTTCATAAGGTATATCTGTGTGAAATTACCTAAATTTATTTCAGGTTTCATGAAAAAAGAGACCTTCTTCTAAACCCTTAGTACTGGAATCAAATGTCAACACTAATGTTCCCCCCCGCAAAAAAACCTTAAAAAACTCAATCAGCTTGGAACAGATAATCCAAAGAAAACTTACCGCACCGTGGAATATTGCAAAATTCCCAACGTTTAGTTGGGTTTGTGGTAAAACACCAAGGACGCGGTTCACCATCAGGATTACGGCAGTAATTTGACCTCAGATTCTTTTCTGGGAAACTGAAAGTTAAAGGAAAGATCTGAAGCTTCTGCTGATTGACTGTTGATGGTTATGTCTCTTCAATGCAGAATATACAGAGCCATCTTATATCGTGTTAGACTATCCACCTGCCAAATAGTGGCTGAAATCTTGTTACTTCACAGAGTAAATCACACTAAAGTAAGCCCACTGAATCTGTGGGGATTTGGTGAGTCGACTTCTCCATAAATTCTATTGATTCAAAAATGTAATTGTAACTTTAGCATAATAGGTTGCAACTAGAGTCGGCCTACTGAGGCCATATTTCGGCTAAATATCAGGAAATCCTCTTAGCTGTTAGAGTAGTACAACAATGGAACCAATTAGGATGTGGTAAGCAATCCAACGCAGGAGGCATTCAAGAGAAAATCAGACAACAATCTGTCAGATCTACTTTGACTTGTATTCCTGTATTTAGCAGGGGGTTGGACTCGATAGCCTTATACACCCTTTGCAACTCAACTATTCTATGATTCTGTCCTGTATTAGTGGTGATTCTTCCAAAGGAATTACTAGTTCTTATGGACTATACAGAGATAATTCATATAAAATTCTTCCTCAAGTTAGTAAGAACATTATTAACTATTCTGTTGACTCACCAAACTTGTATCGGTAGAATTAATACCTTTCAAAACACTTTTTCTAAGTTTGTAATTAGAGATGGGCATGAACTGATTTGTCCCAATTCATCAAGGTAGCAGCACAGGTTCTCATGCCCCCTTCTCTCACCTCTGCAGCCAATCAGCCACCCACCAGGCCCAGCTTGCTTGCCTTTGCTGCCTCCTCAACTAATCTCCAAGTCAGAAGCAAGAACACACATACCTTGACTGTCCCACTCTTTTGTCTGAGTGGGAAATTAGCCAAGAGGGTGGGGCAGAGAAGCCTGAGCTGTTTCCGGAACTGGAAGATCAGTTGAGGAGATGCAGAAGGCTAGCATGCTGGGGCTGCTGAGTGGCTGATTAAGCCAGAGGAGGAGACCAGCCTTTATGAACTGGGATGAACCGGTTCCTGCCCATCTTTATTTATAATAATTCCAGAAAAGTTTTGTATTTTTGCAGGGGTTTTTGCATGCTCGTGCTGTTAAATATTCCATTCCAGATTTGTGTCTCCAATGTCCCTCTCTACTTTTCCACATTTTTTCTGTTTGCTTTTCTAGTATACATTTTTTTCCAACTACACATTCTAGAACCAACAGCTTTTTTTAAAAAAAAAACACTGCAGTTTCTTAGGCAAAGCAAACCAATGACTTTCTGCATGCAAAGCTGAGCTAAAAACTTAACAACTACGGACAGGAATTAAACAGTGTTACATGCTAGAGCTGATGGTTTCCACATATAATATCTCTACCCAAATCAGGTATGCAGGCTCAAGAGTTTTGCACAGATTTAAACAGGGCTCATTCAGAAGTGGTGAATTATGTACCCACTGAAAACCCATCTTAGTTTGGATTATTTCTGTCTACAGTTTTAAAATGACTCACTGTATAGCAGTGGCAATGGCTACTTAGTTCGGTTTATGAATTTATCATTTGGAACGTACTTCAAAGGGATGTATCCATGAGAGTGAGGTTCTTGAGAACCCCAAGGCTGACATTCCAGTCCAGATTCTGTTTTGGAAATTTTCCCTTGATAGTTTTCTCCGCTACAGTACATGCACTGTTCTGTAAGAGAAAAAGTCCTTTAATTATGCAAACTGTTCATATTAGACTTATATTTCACATTAATGCAGAGGTAGACAATCTCCCAAAGTCCAGAGACAACACATTTATCTCTGGACCTTACAAGGTCATATCTACTCCTGTAATTCCCATCCTAGCATTTTATCTTACAAAAGTTTGAGAGTGGTTTTTTTTTAAGTGAAAAAGCCCCCTTCTATACTCTTGACAGCCGATTATATATACTTTTTTTGGAGAATGTTGTCAGAGTTTGAACTGCTGTCTGAATGAAGTGTTAAAGCAATTGGGGGGGATATAATAAATGTAACCCTGGAAATGTGAGACATGCTAATAAAATTGAGGTTTCATAGGCATGTACTGCATGCCTATTGGAGTTTCTTCTGAGATAAAAACTAATTTCACCAGATTGATAAAATTCACAGAAAAGAGTACTAACTCCTCAAAACTAACAAAGCACATTGTAATCCTACAGGGTTTGTTGGAACAGTGGCAGAACCCATGCAGAATGTGTACAATTTCTTTACTATGTCCCCACTTCACTGGCAAAGCTAGTCGTCTTGTTTTCAAAACATCCTTATCAACATTTTCTGCAGTACAGACCCATTCCACTGGAATTTCCATTTTATCCGCAATTGTGGCTGCCAGCTAAGTGTGCAGATATCTACTTGTTTGCGCTACAGATGCTACAAGTACAGTGACAGTGTTAGTGAGGAGCAGGAGGCAACGCAGCAGTAGCAGCAGGCAATGCATACAGGCAAGGAGATCATGGATTTCGCTCCATAGATTCAAACTGGCAAACTGCTGGCTTGGCTGGGTAAGAATGTTATTAAATGTGTACAATATGCAAAGACTAGAAATAAAGACTAGAAATACAATATGCTTTCTTACTTTTCAAAGTAATTATGTGTTTTAGACTGTAACTAAAGCATTAGTTTTATGCTCCTCTGATTTTGAAACATTTTTGAATCATGACTTAAGTACAGTATTTGCCTGCAACTTAAATTCAATCTTCATATACAGGTATTTTTAAACATTTGTACTGCAGCTTTTTTCATAGCTGTAAGACTGAGTTTCATAAGATGAAGTAAATGTTCCATTAACTTCCAAGTTACATGCATTCAGTTTTGGATTTTTAAAAATATAAACATAAGTCATTGGATAAATAAACCTTGTAAATTAGGGAAACTGATGTTACCTAGAATCATTTTTCTCTGCTTGGAAAAAGTAGAATGAACAAGATGTGGATGCCTAGAAAGTCTTGCTTTAGTGAAACAATGGTTTATTCTCATCCTCAGGAGAGGGATGAAGTAATTAAACAATGAAACAGCTTATATCTTGATATTCAGATAAAAACTGATATTTATTTTTTATTTATTTATTTATTTATTTGATTTGTATCCCGCTCATCTGGTAGCTCGGTATGATAAGCCTCAGGAGAGGGATGAAGTAATTAAACAACGAAACAGCTTATACAGTATCTTGATATTCAGATAAAAACTGATATAAATGATAAAGTTACTTGATTTCACACTGAAATTATTTCTATCAGGAAAATAATGTCAATTGTGATGAACTCTTACAGACTCATACTACCAAGATATGTTATAAATCTTACAGTGCTCTGAGGATTTTTTTTTCAAATGTCATATATTTGACCTTGATAATATGGCAATCCCTGAGTGTGCTGAGGACTCACTCCAACAAGGCAAAATCTGACTCCCCCATGTCACCTAAAAGGCACATGGGGACTTTTACAGTCAAAAACATCCTCACCAAAAACTGAGGGGCATAGGTAGATTGCATGTTGTTCACCGCCTCACTACAATACGAATAAGTGATCAAATTTCCAGTCCTATATACACAGCAATGCCTACTGGGAAAGACTTAGTTGTTATTGGGACTGATTCATTGAAAGCTAGCCAAATCAAGAAAAGCTAATTGAACAAAACAAAAACTCAATTTGTTCACGCAGCAAAACCAATCAAGAGTCTTCATATAAAAATCTGCATACTGAAGTTACACTCCATACATCTGATGAAGCAGACTGTGGTCCACAAAAACCTATTGGTTTTGCTCACATTCTCCTGGGAAAAGAAAGAGTTATGAGTATGACCACCACCAGTCCACAAACATTCACTGTGAACTGGCTTCTCAGTAGCATTAGCCCAAGCTACGTTTGGTTAAAAAATAACATGGCACCCTCTCCATTCCATATATACAAGATAACTGTACTGGCAGTTGAATCTTAGTTCATCACTGGCAATGGGATGGTAAGTGACTTCACTGCTTCTGAAGGGAGGAGGCCTGTCCTCCAATAGAAGGGAATGGCCAGGAGGACCGGAAGGAAGAGTTGGAAACCTGTCAGGGCATGCCACACAAGATGATGTTCTCATACTATCTAATGGTGGGACTGACACTGCTTCTCAGGCTTTTTTACACAGCTGTTACTTACATAATTTAAATAAGAAGTCCTTAATTGCTGTTCATTTGACCCTTCTTTGGAGAGCTGTCAGTTAACTTATCATATGGAAATATTTAATCTTCTATTGACAAAATTATCACAAAATAATAAGGTTTTTCTACAATATTTTAGAAGGTGCTTCTACAATAATTTGGGGATAATGTAACATTTCTGGTGAACATAGAATAACAAAATTCTTCATGCCAAAAAGAATAATGTCTAATCACTGTACTGTATTTAAAATTGCCCTGAAAAATATAAATTTGGTGTATGGAAACCTACCTTCACATTCTGGGATATTACAATAATCAAATCTCGTTTCAGGTTCCGTTGTGTAGCACCAGGGGCCTTTCTCATCATTATCAGGATTCCGGCAGTAGTTTTCTTCCAGTGAAGCATTTGGGTAAGCTTGAGGGGTATAATTAGCAAAAACAAAAATGCATGTTGTTACAGACATCACACGTGGTTCCCAAAGTCTTGAATGAAAATGAACAAATCAAAAAGTTTACAGCTCATGGCAGACATAACAAAGTCTTATGGAAAAAATGGAAGAAATTCTAGTCCCTTACAGCAGACCAAACTCTTTTAACAGAACTTGGAGCCAAAATAGATGTGAGACATCTGTGTTCAGACTGCCTTCATTTCAAAGCAGACAAATGTGTCTGTACATTGGCTTGTAGAAGCAGTTGTGTGGAAGGAGAGTTAAATGCTTCCACCTCAAAACTTATTCCACTCAACCAGAATTACCCTCCTAAATTGGTATTATTTCAGAGGGAGAAGACCAGAGGTTTGGAAAAAAATTTGGACTACAATTCCAAGAATCCTTCAATCAGCACAGCTAGTTTCCCGTGCTGGCTAGGGTGATGCTAACTGCCATGCCAATGAATTAACTTTCCCTGATTTTGGAAATGCCAGGTTATCAATGGTCAGGTATGGCTAGGACTTCTGGACCTCAATGAAATCCACGGAGCTGTCCCAGATTCTGCTGGGCATAGTGATATATTCTGATTTATTCTACTACCCAAGAGAGCGTTCTGGTATTTTGGTAACTGAATGAATACCTGGACTGCATTCCAACCTGAAAGCATAATGGAGATGTGTAGATGTTTTACATTTTCCGTGGAGATCAAACAAGAGGAAGACTTTTGCTTTTTATGAAAGTGCTTAAGCTATTTGCCTCCACCCATACTCTACTTGTGTCACTTACAAATAAATAAATTACAAAAACTACATATGTCAGTGATTCTTCCTCTCAAAAGAAGACACACCCTGCTACAGTGCTGCCCTGAAACTTCTCAGTGATTGAGGAACCGAGGAATCCTTGTGCCACCCCTCTTCAGTTTCACTGCCTACCACATGCAGTGGCAGGAAAACTTTCAATATTTTCATTGCATACATTTGCAACATTTTGGCTAAAGAACAGAATATCCATACTACCAGTGACAATGAGAATTATGGGACTTACTACCAAAATGGGAAGCAGTTCTGGAGAAAAGTCTTACTTGGGTACATGAGGACTGTTGTCGGTCCATTTCTGGCACCGTATACCTTTCTGAGTTTTAGATTCAGTTCCTCGGTAGTCGAATCCGTTTCCTCTTCTGCATTCAAGCAAATAAACTGAAATATATATTTTTATTTATTATTGCTACCATGTAAGAATAAACACAGGTTTAATTTCCAAGCCTGATTTTTAGAGGCATGCATGTGTAATGAAATCTCATTGTGGGAGGAGAAAATGGCTTTATCACAGGCACAAGGCATTCCCCTTAACATTTAGTTTGACATCATTAATGGAATTTTACACAGGGTTCAGATTCATTGTCATGCGAATGATACATTTTCTAACCCTGCTATACAAAAAAAGTAACATCTAACAATATTGTTCAATGTTATCATCTTAACTGTAATTCCCCTATAACCAAACCATAAAATCCAGTGTCAGAAGACACAGCAGCCAAAATCCTGTTGCTTAATGAAGTAAAATGCACTAGAGTAGGTCCACTGAATCAATGGGAATTTGGTGAGTCAAGTCCTCCATAACTCACATTATTCAGATGGACTTACTGTAGTGTGATTTATTACACTAAGGAATAGGATATTGGTCTATGTACTCAGTTTTTAATAAAATACAGTCAAATTGACTTCTGCTCTGTTGTGTATGTGTTTGCAGATTGGATTCCACTTTATACGTTCAGCTCTCAGTAATTGTATACAATTAAAATCTTAAAATTAGCTTTGAGGAGCTGCATTGTTTAGAGCTATGTATTCTTGCTTCTACTGAGAGGCATAGAATTGTGGTCATGGAAACACTTGAAGTATACATTAATGACAGGACACTACAATTTGTTTGGATTAAGAGCATGACTACAAAGAAGTATGAAGGCAAACAAATGAAGACCAAAAAGAAAAAAGAAAGAAAAAAGAAAACCAGAATACTTTGGTCACATAGTGAGAAACAAAAAAATATGAATTGTTCCATCTGGTCCTTCAAGTTAAAGTAAATGGGAGAAGAAATCATGGAAGGGGAAGAGCTTAAGAACATGGCAGACTAATTAAGACACAGCACACTACGGTTCAAAGCTAAAATAACCATTAAGGTATCAAACTGTCAGTAGAGAGAGGAAGAGGAGGAGGAGGAATCTTTGTTTACATACTGTATCTCTCACTTCTTTGCTATGGATATGTAGAATGCGCATGAAAACTGAAAACTGTTTTTGTTTTTTAAAGCTTTTTTCACAAGCTGTCTTTTCTATTCTGTGTTGCCAGAGAACAAGAAATATATTCTCGCAATGACCAGATAGGCGGGATATAAATAGAATAAATAAATAAAAAATAAATAAATTCAGTGCCTTTCAAGTGACACTGCACAGATTTTGTAATTACATATGGAATAGATACAAAGAAAAGCTGGTTCAGGAATCAGATCTGCTGACTGCAGATACAGTGTTTTGTGTGTGTGAGTGTGTGTTTTCATTAGATAGAAATGTGAACATAACTTTAGTGAACTCTTTAGTAATTGCAGTTGAAGGTAGTATAGCTGGGTATTTGTTTGTTTGTTTGTTTATGTGCATGCATCAAATTGTGCGTTTTTCTAACCTGTATACAGTGCTGACTACTGTTTCCTGCAACAGGGAATGGCACAATATCATATTGCCATGAAAAGAAATACTGTACATCAATATACAGTATAAGGATTCTGCAGAGGTGTGCATGTGTGAAACTGTAGCAAACTATGGCCAGAAGCCAAGTCTAGTTTTAGACATTTTGTCTGAAGGATTATCAGAAGTATGAGAAAGGAGGCGAGACAGAGACACCTCTGGCCTGAGCACAGTCCACTCCTGTGGACAAGGGGGTGAGGAACAGAGGAATTAAGATGGAGGGACCTGCAGAGACTTTGGCAGAAGGCTCACAGACAGGAGCACCCATGGGAGAAGTGACCCAAGATCCAGGGGAAGTAGAAGAGTTGAGTTAGAAAGAGGGGTGGGGGACAAGAGAAGGGGAGGCTGTTGAAAGGAGGGGAGGAGACTAAAGTGACAGGAAAAGGAATAAAAGGGGAGGGAGAAAAGAGGGAGAGTTTGGTGGAAGCGGGGGAGAGGGAAAGTCAGGAGAGAGAGAAAATCCTATCCCCAGGGTGGGAGTGGATTTGGCCAGATAACCATTGGACACAGAAATGGGAAAAGGCTAATGGACCCAAGGAAGAGGCTAAAAGAAGGAGGAGAATGGCCATTCCTCAAAAACCTTTGTTTTGGGGTGAAAAGAAAGCCCATGAGTGGCAACGTAAGTTGAGGGAAGGCATGGGTAGAAAGAGAAAAGAGAGCCAGAGCCAGGTAGAGAGCACGGCAAGTGATGGAGAGGAAAGAAGTCCAGAAATCTGGGACTTCCGTGAGCTGGGTGGATGAATGGGGGAGGGGATCTGATTACCCGGGAGAAGTCATCCTGCCTCTGTTGCCAATTTCACTGGGACTGACACTGAGAAACTATGGACAGTTTAACCCAGTGAATCCCTGGGATGTCAGTTGTGGAAACCCATTTGATGTTCAAGAAGAAAACCCCTTTCTTGCCTCACTGTGGAAGGAGGAGATCAGCAAGCTCAAACTTGACATAAATCGCTTTATTGATATTACCACAATAAATGTTAATGTTTTGCACCTTGAGCCTGAGTCTGCACCTGGTAAAGTTAAATGAGAGAGAGAAGTCATGCTAACAAATCCTAGGGAAAAAACCCTAATAAGAAGGAAGATTGCTGTTTAGTGTTACAACACTGCAGTGCAAGCATCAACCATGACTTCAATGTTTCTGAACATGCAGTGAAAAGAATCCTATGAGGCCCTTCAGAGATTTCCAAAAATCCATAATCCAGGAAGCCAGTGTAGTACTAATTTGGATGTAGACAGCCAATTTACCTCAAAGGCTGCATTCAGAGCTCTCCCAAGTCTGTCTCCTGATACTGCTGCAGCAGAACAGATGGAGAAGCCATTGCCAAACGTCCTCCTACAGAAGAGATCTGCTCTGTTGTGGTCCATTCCTTTACCACCCACCCCCAGGAAATCACAGCTCAGTATTTCACAGCAGTCTTTAAAAGGTAAGAAATGTCAAGATCCCAACTCATATGACCAGCCTCTTATTTGCCAAAGGGAACAGGAGTATATTTGTTCAAGGGATTCTGGACTGCTAAATGAGTACTGTGGTTGCTCCTGTATGTATTCAGACATTGTCCTACTCTGTTATAGCCCAGAATCAGCTATTTCCTCAGGAGCTATTATATTCTGTAGACACTAGTCTAAGGCCTGAGCTGTTCAGGTGAAGAACAAGGCTGGCCTCAAATGGCCTATTTGGACTGAAATCCTGTTGATGCTACCAGGGCCACAGCTCCTACAGGATGGAGATGTGTGTCTATGTGTGTGTGTGTGTGTGTGTGTGTTTGTGTTGGAAAATGTTGAAAGCAGGTGCTCTACACTGTCCCATCTTCATGGCAGGTCAGGACGGCAACAGCTGGAAGCGGGACCTCAGCAATCAGAGCCTTCCAAATTTGGAATCTCCTTCTTCCCTCGGTACAGGGTTTCGTTCACAGAAACACCAAATTCATATTTCAGACTGACTCACCGAGCAGCCATATCTTGTTTCACAAACACATTACATGGCATGATGAGCTGCAAATGATACCACATTCAAGCCTCCGTACTTACTCTTTTTTTCAAAGAGAACTGCACCCGCACTTCTGAACACAACAGTTGTTTTGGTGTTGTCAGCTAATGTAATGCACTGTTGATCTTTGACAGCATATAAAAAAGACCTGTGGAAATGGCAAGAGGTATGAGAAATATTGACTCTGCCAAAATATTCACATATTTATATTTAGTTATTGTATTGATAAACATAGTTACATGCCGCCTTACTTGAAGAATCTTACCAGGCAGAAAATAATATATTAATAAACATTTAATATATTAAAAACATCTACAGTACTTCTGCTTCATTGACTACACAAAAGCCTTTGATTATGTGGACCACAACAAACTATGGAAAGTTCTTAAAGAAATGGGAGTGCCTGACCACCTTATCTATCTCCTGAGAAATCCATACGTGGGACAGGAAGTAACAGTTAGAACTGGATATGGAACAACTGATTGGTTTAAAATTGGGAAAGGAGTATGACAAGGCTGTATATTGTCTCCCTGCTTATTTAACTTATATGCAGAATACATCATGCAGAAGGCTGGACTGGAGGAACCCAAAAACGGAATTAATATTGCCGGAAGAAATATCAACAACCTCAGATATGCAGATGATACCACTCTGATGGCAGAAAGTGAGGAGGAATTAAATAACCTGGGTGGCATATAAATGTAATAAACAAAGAAACATTTGGAGATTTTGAAGGTGTGGAAAGAAACTAGAAGGAGAAAACTAAAAACTGGATCTTCTCGGCGGTGACCCCTTGCCTCTGGAATATCTTGCCCCTTGAGATTTGCCTGGCACCCTCGCTGAAGAACAAACTGAAGACTTGGTTCTTCAGGCAGGCCCTCCCCTCTTCCATTTCTTTATTCCCTATGTCTTGCCATCTTAGACTTTGCTTATCTCTATGTTGTTTGACACTCTGTGTTTTAAATTTTGTTTTATATTCGGAATGTAAGCCGCTCACACACCAAACATTTTGTACACAGGCAAAGTTGGTTTTACTTATCCCACCTGTCCCAAGAACAGAATCTGTGCCTATCTGGAGAGGAAGAGACTGCATTGTGGATGGTTCGTATCAGGTTATTATGAAAATGGGGACATTAACTGAATGAGTGACTATGACCAGCTTTGCTGTGAATCGTCTGCTTCATTAGTGCTCCAAACATTTCAGAATCTGACTGAAGCAGTGAGAAGCACGTTTTACCCAAGCCAATGGTGGTGGGGGAAACCACATTGGACTCCAATACAACACTGGCTTCACTTCTGTTAATTTAGATACAGCAGTGAAAAGATTTTTAAGACAAGAGGATTGCTCCTTTTTTAAATCTTAGGGTAAGATCAAAAGGGGAAATAGATCACAATTTGGACCACTTGTGGAGCAATGTGGGGCGAACAGACAATGCCTCCAGCTGTGACCCATGCCCAAGATGGGCCTTTTTGGTACAACTGTTGGGTATCTACTGTTTTGGACTAGCCTAGGGCCATTTTCTGGCAGATGGAAGGGTCACTTTAAGGGAGATTGTGCCCATTAAAGAAACCCTTTCTGAGGTGAACAGGTGTGCTACTTTACAGCTCTCTGATTGCATCCTTAAGTCGTATCAAATACACTCACTGAAAGATATTTGGAATGCATTACAGAAATGCCAAATTCGGTATTATTATGAAACACAATATAAGAGCTGGCAGTAACAAATGTGAACCCATGGTAAACTGATAGTGAGCTTGTTTGTGTAGCATCAGCCACTCTAAGATCTGATGCTACTTACCGTAATTTCTTGTTAATGTATATCCTCATTCTGGCTTAGCCTGTTCTGGTGTTATAAATGTTGGTACTCTGAACATATGGGTGGTAGTGGGGAACTACCCCCTCCTTGCCTGAAAATGATGCATTCCTGTTTGCATGTAGGCTCTGCACACATACAAAAATCTCTAGAGTACTGGTATGTATAATGCCCAAATATAGGTCTTGTTAGAATGTAAATATACAGATGCCTATTAAGAAGTAAGACATTGTTCAAGAGAACTTAGTCCTAGGTTAGTTTGCATAACATAATAGCTCTTCATTAATTCTTTTTCTGAATTGACCATATAAAGGCACCTGAATGATCCAATAAGGTTAATAAAAGAATCGCATTAGCAAATTTCACAAGGTATCAGTGATCAGACTCTAATTCTTGCTCCAAATTAGTCTTACCATAGATACTCAGTGTTAGCTAATCAATTTACTGAAGCTAAAATGAGCTTCCATATTCAGAGGAACTATACCTGTACATATTATATGATAGGCACAACCAGTGAGGGAATCTGTTACAATCATGCCTTGCTTGCTGGCTTCCTCTATGCACCTGGCTAGCAGCTGCTGGAAAAAAGAATCCTGCGCTAGAAGGACCCCATGTCATATCCAGCCAATACTTATTATGCTTTTCCTTTCAAAGAATTTATTGCTTTTTTTAGTTGCTCTTTACTGTTAGCCATTACCCATTTCTCAATGAGTGACATGCTAGGAACTAATGTGTTACATTTTTAAAAAATATGTCTTGAAAAATATGGAAATTGCCTTAAATACACATAAATGACACCGTATCAACATTTTAGGATTAGAAAGCAAATGTTAATAGTACAATTTTAGAAGCAGCACTGTTAAGATTATTTTCAGGTTTCTGGCTGCAAAGCCAGAGATTGGGAGTTCAATGCCCCCGTGAACCTCCCGGAAGAAGAGCCAGCCTGTGTGGTCTTGGGCAAACTGCAAAGTCCTAGAAGAACGAATGGTAAACCACTTCTGTGCATTCTCTTCCTAGAAAACCCTGAACAAGGTTGCTATGAATCAGAATTCACTTGACGGCATGCTCTGATTATTGTTATATGTGCTCTCTTCATATACTATCCCAAAGCAGCATGTTATACGTAACACAATTTATATGGTTCTATCACCAAGGGGACGTGGTGGCGCTGCGGGCTAAACCGTAGAGGCCTGTGCTGCAGGGTCAAAAGACCAGCAGTCATAAGATCGAATCCACGCAACGGAGTGAGCTCCCGTCACTTGTCCCAGCTCCCGCCAACCTAGCGGTTCGAAAGCATGCAAATGCGAGTAGATAAATAGGTACCACCTTGGTGGGAAGGCAACAGCGTTCCGTGTCTAAGTCGCACTGGCCATGTGACCACGGAAGATTGTCTTCGGACAAAACGCTGGCTCTATGGCTTGGAAACGGGGATGAGCACTGCCCCCTAGAGTCGAACACGACTGGGCAAAAAAAATTGTCAAGGGGAACCTTTACCTTTATCTTTTTACCACCAAGTTCTGTTTGCAACAGTGCAACTTCTGCAAGTTATTAGTACACAGAGCATCTCCAGAGCATGGAAGACAGGAAACGCAGTGTCTGTGTTTGTTTCACTCAGGGCACCTAAAAACACCGTTGGCCTTAACCTCTGACAAACATCAGCAGAAGTGGGAGAAGGAGAAGCACAACCAAGGGTCCTTGTTTAGACATGAACAGGGGAGGCATATTATCAACAGCTTGCCTACCTTATGACAAATAACATGCAACACAACCCAGATCACAACACAGTTCATCCTGGATCAATGAAAATGTTTCATGAGACTCGGACAGTGGCTGAACTCCTGTTGCTTAGCTTGTAAATCACAACTGGTGTAGACTCAATAATCAATGTTCAATATTCAATACTCAGTAATCAATAAGTGGGGATTTGGGGAGCCAAAGTCCACGGATTCAGTGAGCCTCCTCTAATTGCAACTTACTATGCTAAGCAACAGTATTTTAGACAGCATTAAAATACACGCTCATGTCACAAAGGAATTATGCAGCTCAAAGGGGGAGGGGTAACCATTATCTTCTGTGATCTGAATCTTCAGACTTTTCCTTTCTTTCTCTCATGGCATCAAACACTTATTCAGTTTAAACTGAGGCATGTTCACCCAGAAGTCTGAGTTCATGAGGCTAACTTCTCTGTAAGTGTACATGGATGTCTGCCTTCATGCGTAAAAACCATTGAAGCTCACCATCGATCACTAGCATAGTTGGGCAGACGTCATAAAATGCACCAGAGATAGTTACCTGCAAGAAAAAGCTGTTTCTGCTTCACATTTTTCTGCACATTGTTCTTTACTGAGTGTTCTGTACATTCTTTTATGTTCGCCGAAGATCCAAGCACCATCTGTCCTTGCATAGTTATCCAGAATATCTCCTTCAACTAAAAAAAGAGGGAAAGTGAAGAGATGTAGAATTGAAAATGCTACAGTTGATAAATACATTTTTTTTTGTAGCATTGAATAATAAAACCCTTTACTGAGATGATATAAGGGCTGGAACAAGAGTATTCTGGTGGACAGTGTCAGACAGTGTTCATCTGATTTCTTGGTTGCAATTTCCATTTTGTGACTTACCGTTAGACAGAGCAAAAACTTAAGTGCATGTGACATTAATGATGGAAGTGGCAAACAGACCATGTTTTTTAAACAATTAAGCACTGAGCGATAATGGTGGTTTCCAATCTACAAACAGTTAAACTGCTCAGAACACATTGAACACAATCAAAATCCAGTTTAAAAAGGTATGTGTTCACAGCCTTCCTAAAAGCAGTGAGAGTGAAAACTGTTAGCGGCTCTGAGGGAAATCTATTCTACCAACTGAAGGCTAAGCATGAGAAAGCCCTGTTCTGCATGCCTGCAAAGCAAGCTTCTGAAGCTGTTGGTAGCACCACCTCCTGAAGGTCTTAAAAACTAGACAAGGTCATAATGAGATAGGTGGTGCCTTAAACAGTCAGGATCCAAGCCAATTAGAGTCTGAAGATTAAAACTAGCTCTTCAATTGGACTTGGCTGGCAACCAGTGTAGATTTTTTAGTACTGGGATCTTATTATTGTATCATGCATGAATTAGCAGCCTAGCTGCCACATTGTGCACTAGCTGAAGATCCTAGATCCTCTTCAAGGGCTAGTCCCATCGAATACATTACACTAGTCAAAAAATCATGTAACCAAGTTAATAGACTACTATAGCCATGTCAGGTCAATGAAGGAAAGGCACTTCTCATACCACTGCCACCTGGAAATCCAGGAATAGCAGAGAGTCAGGAGAACTCCCAGGCTACAAACTTCTCATGTCAGGTGCAGGGCAAACTCCTCAAGAGCAGGTAGAATCTCAATCCCTGAGTGACTTTCTATTGAACAACATTTCTGTCTTTTCAACATTTAATTTCAACTTGTTCACTCTTAACCAGCGTATCACAGATCTCACATAGCATTTAAAGATTCTTCTGATTGTTTCCTCTACATCAGGTGACAAAGAGCAATGGAGCTGGGTGTTATTAGCATATGGGTGCCACTTCCTTTCAAAGCTTCAGATGAACTCTCCCAGTAGTTTCATATAGATCCTGAATAATATGAATAGGGTAGACTCCTGAGGTACACCACCCACTTATGGACATGATGTCCAATGGTGTCCCTGTGACGTTTACCACATGGCCCCTGCTTATTTCACCAAACAAAGAACTCACACTATGTCTCCCACCAGCTCACACCAATTGTGACGTGCCCCTCATGTGTCCCTCTAGCCTGGATTCCACAACACATTCTCTCCTTTCTGCTGCCACCAGTTGACCTCTGTCAACACTCTTTAATTAGAAAGACTGAGGTCCAAGCTGGGTATAAAGTTGAGCAACACAGGTTTATTGATTACATTTCGCTTAAACAGGTTCTTCACAGACTTTAATGTATTCATTAGATTAGTAGTAACTTGTTTCACTCTTAACTCTCTTAGCTCTCTATGTCCCACACTCTTAACTCCTAACTCTGCCACGCTCTCTGACGACCACCAACTTCTACTTCAGACTCTCATCTCTGACTCTCACTGACTGAACTCCTAGACTCTGACTCACCCCTCCCTCCTAGTTTCTCTGGCTCCACCTCCCAACAGCTTCCATTGGTGTATGCAAATAACCTCCTACATGAGCCAAAGCAGGGTGATCGCCACAGTCCCCCTAAACACCACTTTTCATATCCCATATGGGAGGACTAGAACCCCTGCAATGCAGTGCCCCCCTGGTACCCAAATAAGCCAACAAGACATCATGGACAATGGTAACAGCTGCTGAGAAGTCCAGGAGGATTTACAAAGTTGCAATTCCTTTATCACATATGTCATTTGCCTAGGCAACCAAAGCAGTCTCAGTTCCATAACATAGTCACAAGCCCAGTTGAAATAGGTCCTGATAATCAGTGGCATCCTAAAGCATCTGGAGTTGCAGCACCACTACCTTCCCAGCGATCTTATCCAGTGTATATTTGTGACTGCCCTACATTCATTAGATTAATAGTAACTTGTAGTAGTAACTCTTCTGAAGTCATAAATTGCAAAGTTATTACTCTGTCTTTTTAAAAAGTCTATAGAGCACTTGCAGATATTAACAGACCATTTCACTTGAAAGCAGTGGAGCAAGTATTGCACCCCTTACACTGATGGGGTGTGTCTGAGCATGTCCCCCCCATTCAGCCACCAACGAGAAGGGCCAGGCAGGGGCTTGAGCTGCAGCAGTCCCACCTGCACCATTGTTTGGTGGCCAAGAGTGGCCGGCTGACTGGCCACCCGGGTGGGGTCAGCTGGGCCGCTGGGCCTCCAGGGAGCCGGGCGGAGGTCATATGCTTCCTCTGTGTAAGGCGGCAGATACTGGGAGACAGCCACATGATGCAGGCCACACCTGTGTTGCCTTCAGGTGGGGTGGGGTTAGGGTGTGTCAATCCCGAGGCCCCTTTCCGCTGCCTGTGGGGAGGGGCAACTCCATGTGCCAATGGAGGCTCCAGCTGCAAATGATGCTGGACAGCTCCACCACAGGTAGACAGGGAAATACAACACCCCAGGTGTTGCGATGGCCAGACATCAATACAGCCTTGGTGGTCATGCCGCTGTCCCTTCCCCTACCCAGCTCCCACTCCTTGTCAAGTGATCAGGCCTGGCAGCATCCCTGAAATTCTGCCCCCCCAAGAATTCTGCACCTAGTGCAACTGCCCTGTGCTCCCCCCACGTGCCACGCCACTGCTTAAAAGTAATTCCCACTGAATGCAATGAGACTTAATTCTGGACAGACAGACATAATATTGCACTGCAAATTTATTTCAAAGAGATTAGCATTGTACAAATCTCTTCACTGTATTCATTTACCTTGGAAAATTAATCTTCTAAGATCTAGGCCACTGCAGAGTGAAAGGTTATTGTACCGAAAATAATTCACTGTCCTCCAAAAATTGATAAATGTTTTGTCTAAGACCACTCAGTTGCAGGATATGTATGTGGCTGTACTTGTGAGTGAGTGGATGAGCCAGGTTCAGTTCAGCTTCCTGTCAAGTGAGACCTTTCTCTCTCTTTAAATCACCCATGTTATCAAGACTATGATGAATAAATATTCAACAGGGTCTTTTTGTTTGTTTGTTTTAATTCTCTCTGTAGATGTTACCTTTCAAGACATCATACACATTTTTTATTAAACCACACTTGAATTATTAATTTATTCCCAGAGCCTCATGAGTTCAAGACTGAAGGTGTAAAAATGGTCTATTTGCCCCCAAACAAAATATTTTTAATTCAGTATATAGATTGGGGGCCATATGTCTCATTACACATGGCACTGTCAAAAAGATCGTCAATACTATGGAAGTGAACCCCGATAGAGAGAACAAGTCTGTGTATGTTTGTATATCTTAATCAATTGTTATGCTTTGTAATTAGATTTTTGGAGGCATAAGAATTATACACGGATTTTGAACTACATAGGTGGCTGCTGCCCGTAACCCCAGTGCTGTTGAAGGGAGAAGTGTAGTCTCATTTTAACATAGTTATGCAATGCTGGCATAAAACTGATTTATCAAATTCCAGGTGGGCAAATTCAAATAATCCTATTTAATTTGATAGTTTGTAAAGCATAATCCACAACATAGGGCATTGTTCTCTCCCAGATGTAATTCATAATTCTTCCCATGGAGGGGCAGAAATTTTCAGATTTCAAAATCGGTTTCTTTGGTTTCACATTTAACAGCACTTTGTGATTATCAAGACCTTTCTTTGTGGAAACCACTACAACTGAGCTGCAAATATTTCAGTCTTAGTAATGCTAATTTTCATATACTGTAAAACCATAAAAGAGAAAAAAATACACACAAGAGGTCTGTACCTTATCTGCACATTATCATGGAGTAAACTACATATGAACAAATGGTGCATTGTTTTGTTGAGAGCAACATATATACACTAGCAAAGTGTTAAAACAAATAAAAACATCTAAAACCTTACACTGTCATAATCATTATCATTTCAGGTTTGCTCCATGATGGAGTTCGGGGTGGTATACACCTCAACAGTCTGACATCCAATCAAAAACCAGAACTACTTCTGCTAAGTTACTGCATTCCATGCCTTCAGGCCATACTTTATTTTTGGTTCTGGGTGATAATGCACTTCAAGATCTGCGGCTGACTCTAGATGATGAGATTGTGACTGGAAAATGCTCATACAGTAGGTGGAAATGCCCAAACAATAAAATCTTTGCATGTCTGAAATCTCTACTGCAGAAAACAATATCCAACCGCACCACTGCAAAGCTGAAAAACGATTTTTGGCCAAAAACCTGTCTCTCACTGGTGTATGGAGAAAAAAAATACTTTTGTAATTGTTATGCTGGTGGATTCTGAGTTACTGTTGTGACAGTTACTGTTTCCTTCAGAAGAAGCTGTTGTCTGTCCTTCAGAAGCCACAGAGGACTCCTGAAATTTGGTTACGAAAGCAACAAAAAGCAGATCTACCTTATTGTTCATTCTGATTTTTATTATAACACCAATATAAAACCATTTGGGGAATGAGAATGACCTAATGGCACATGAATCAGTTCAATGGCTAAAGCTAAACATATAAGGTACAATAGATGTTTCACAAGCAAAAAGAAACACAGGAATGTAATCCACAAGCAAAATAAAATCAAGGTTCGATAGTACCTTTACTGGACCATCAAAACATCTAACACATGCATGCAAGACTGCAAGTTCACCAGAGCATCAGGCTGGGCAGCACAGACCTTGGACTGGGTAAGAAAACAGAAAAACTCCCACATCATCGTAGGTAGAAGTTCAAACTACAGAATCTGAAGTGAGACTGAAATCTCAAGATGGAGAGTGAGGCTTAAAAATTAGGTGGGGCAATGGGTTCAATTCAGGGTAGGTAGAATCAACTGCTTTTGTGTATCTCTATAGACAAAATGCTGCCAACTACCCACAATGGAGACTCTGAGATATATTTAGCTAAATTCTTGAGCATTATTATATAAACCACAATTTGCAAACTGAAATGTCTGCAGTCTGGCGAGCCTCAGCCAGCCTTTTTAGCTCCATAATTTTTTGAGACTGCTCAGCATTTAGAAAATCAGATGGCATTATCCTATTAGCTTTTATAAACAGAGATCTTCTTAACCACATTTAATGCATGAATTAAGCTATCACTTGGGCTCAGCATATTTCAAACAGAGGATAAATCCAGTGTAGGCTGCAGATTACAAGCAATTTCTGACAACTTTCTCCACAATCTGTTTCTTTAGAAATGTAAAAGTAATCTTACCTGTGTAGAGAAATAAAAGAAACACAAATATATCTCTGTAAGACCTCATTTTGGGACAGGCAAGTTGTATGCTGAAAGCTGTTTCTCAGTGGACAAAGTTTTATTGACTCAGCTAAGAGTTAGACAAGCATCTGAGCAAATGTGATAGACAAACTCAGTTAAACATTATCTCAGTACTTTGGGCCTCTTTCTTTTTTGGTCTAAACGTTCAAACATTACCTTGAGTTCAACATCTTACACAATAACATTTAAATGTTTGATTAGATTTTGGGGAAAGATGGAACATATATCCTAAGAAATGAAGTGAGCTTTGTTGTGAAAATCTTAACCTTCCTTTAGTTCTGTGTTGAGCAGCAAGCTTATCCTAGATACCTGGTGGTGTGGAGTCCACCACAACATGACGCCCATCCCACTTAAGTTAATCAAAGTCGGAAACAGAATTATGGGCTGTTTCTAGGCTAGGAAACAAACAAACCCCTTTCACAACTTTTCTGTGGCTAAAGGAAAAGTTCAGTTAGGGCCTATTCTCATGGCCATTTCTACGTGGGGCAGTAAAAACCTAGCCCAGGTTGCCTTGCAACAGTTTCAAGGAGTGATTGTGAGTTGTATGACTTTGAAAATTAGATGCTGACCTTGGGTTTTGATGTACACACTCAAACCATTCTTATGTGGATTAATATTGGTGTGCCAAAAGTCAAATTCTGCATGTGTATGCCAAGAAGCACACCTCAGCACAGGCTAGTGCCTGGAAAGCAGCAATAGGAAAGATTTTCAGAGAGGTGGCACACACTTAAATTGTTGACTTTGGATCTGTTCACACAATACACAATCTTGTACAACCGCAACCATCATTAAGTAGGGAGCACATATGGACAGACACAGTAGGCCAAATCCAACGTCACTTTTATTTATAGCAGATGCACTGAAATCAGGGAGTCATCTATGAATTGTATCTAAAAGTCCTGTTCATTTCTGTGCGTTTATTTTAGTTTGAACTAATACTGAATTTAGGCCAATGTGTAAATCAAATAAATATTGAAAATCTGTAACATATGTAAGGCTGCAAGTATAACTGAAGTACAAACAGCATGAACTCAAGTTCTACAAGAGTCCAAAGCTTAGACTCCCAAATGCTCACTGTTTAGCTACATGCCTAAGGAAAGCTTTTTGATGTATTGCATATCCCTTGCAGTCTCAGTCCTGAAGATCAATGGTACTTTAAGTAATCTTGATTTATTTTTATTGTCAGATGCTTGACACAGATGGACCTGAAAGGGAAAAAATGGTTTTCTCAATAATCAAATGCTTAGATTACATATTTCATTGTAATCTTGGCCTTAGCATGTCAATTATGAGCCAGCAGCCACGCTAGTTGAGAGATTATGAGAGCTGTCATTCTAACAATGTCCATTTGCCAGCAGGACGAACACGATATCAATATACTGAATTCCTCCCTTCTGCATTTTGGGCCTGGAGAACCACCAAGGCACACTAAACTGTGTGGTGGTGGTGAGACGAGAAAGTGAAATTCCCATACTGAGTGTAGGTCTACTCCCATAAGACTGGATATCATCTAGTTGACTCTTAAATCTCCATTTATCCTCCTTTGTGCTAACATCTTATATATCCTTGCATTTATTTTCACCAGAAGCTGTTAAGACACTGAAAGTTCTCTACAGCTGAAGGTGCTTTGTCTCCTATACTGGAAGGAGTTTCTTTTTTGCTCACTATCTATCTTGTCTAAATCTCATCCCTCCTCTGGGACAATGTTGATCTAGCCATGTTTGTCCTCTTTTGTTTGACATCCTCAGAGGCTTGCCGAAATGAGGATGTTTATCTCAGATAAATCAGAGTCGGGCTACTTTGGTTAGCACAATGGTTAAAATATAAGCCACTGCCGAGTACTTTTAAAACATCAGCTTACTGCTAAATGTTGCTTATGGTAATATGAATAACTGTAAGTTTGTAAAACATGAATCTTAGGTGACTAGGTCTTTTGCCCTTTTAGTTGAATCCCCGAGTAGAAATCTCCCTTCAACCTCAAAATCTTACTGTGTGATCCTAGGCTGGGATATTTTTAGGAAAAGGGTAAAAATATGAGCTATACAGTTTAGTCTGCCTTACACAGATAACGTGAGGGTATAGACCTTTGGGTAGTGTGGGCGGCATATAAATTAAATAAATAAATAAAATAAATAAAGGGGTGGAAAGCACATAGCCTACCCTGAGCAGCATGAAGGAAACCTAACACAAAATGTTAAATAAATAACTGTACTTCAGGAGAAAAGTTAGAGCTATGTTGAAACTTTTCCCAATGCAGCTGATGATTTAAACTTTTTTTAAAAAAAGAAGTTTAAAAACAATTCCCAGAAAGTGGAAAAAAAACCCTAAAAGAACAAAGCCCTGCCATAAAAACAACGCTCAATTATTTTTAAGAAAGTAAACATAATTAAAACTTCAGGTAAATAACTGTACTTCAGGAGAAAAGTTAGAGCTATGTTGAAACTTTTCCCAATGCAGCTGATGATTTAAACTTTTTTTAAAAAAAGAAGTTTAAAAACAATTCCCAGAAAGTGGAAAAAAAACCCTAAAAGAACAAAGCCCTGCCATAAAAACAACGCTCAATTATTTTTAAGAAAGTAAACATAATTAAAACTTCAGGGGAAAAGTTGCAGTTGAAACAAAAAAAAAGGTCTGTCCAGGTTGGAACTCTCTCACTGCCTTTCTCTCCCTCTTGAGTGAAGGCTTCATATTCAGCTGAAAGTTTCAGAACAGAGGACAGAAAAAGGCAACACCCAGCAATTCAACTGAAGTAGTTATCCTTTGTCTCAATTGGAGATACAGAAATTCACTTACTTCTACTCCCTGCTCTAAAACATTTGTATATCCTGACAGGCAGGCCACAAGATCCAGTCTCAGAACAGACCAACTCTTTGATCACTTCTTTGATCGTCCATCTTCCAAATTTTCTTACTGAAATTAAGAGTTCTACATTTCTAGTACCTCTCCTCCCAGTTTTCTAGTTTTTTTATATTATCTTTATTTCTTATTCACCCGTTCAAGTGAATTGCATCAAGTAAAGGAAAACGCTGGTTTTTTACCCAAAATACATGCTTTCCAAATATGAATGCTTACGGGCACTGTATGTGTTTGTGCAGGACTTCAGCCTTAGCAACTGTGTAGAAATCTCCCTATAGCAGTTCCCTAGTCTTTGTAGACTTTCTCCGAGCTCAAATGATGTCATCTTGGTCAGAAGCCTTCGGTTGCACCACTAAAATAGTTACTATCTTCTGTCAAGTTGTGTAGCGTTCACCCTATTATGTTAAGTAGTCATGCATATTCATGTTTCAGGCTATGTTGCTGAGAGGCGGAGCTAAGAGATATGTAATAAAGAGGCGGAGTCAGAGAGTGAATAGTCAGTTAGTGAGTCAGAGTGGAGAAGGAGATAGAGTGTGGTATTTGGGAGATCTGAGGTGTGATTAGAGTGAAGAGTGAATAAGAACTGTTATGACAAATTTCCAGATGCAGGAAGGGCATGATAACACCCTTGAACTGTGAATCCAGCCGTTGCCCTCCTTGGCGCTGAGAAGTCGCAGGACAGCCCAGGCCATGTGTCAAGGGGTGGCGGCTAGTGTTTACTTAAGCGTATGCTAGCCACAAATTGTTCTCTTTCTCTTTCGGGCACCCACCCACCCACCTTCATTCTAGTGTGCTTTTGGGTTGCCTTGTGGGGCCGGATAGGAATTTTTGATCTCTATCCTGATTGGCTAACGGATAGTGGGATTTTTCACCTATCCCACACTGGAGAAGGGTTGTTGGCATTTGATTGGTGGTATTCTCGGTCACACTGGTGGGTAGTGCGGGAAAAAAACTGGTTGTCTTGGTGTGTCCCTTTGATAATTATGCTAAGCCAACAGCGCATCAGACCTCCCGGCTCTGCGGATTGTGCGATTACAGGGCTGGCAGCGGGAGATGCGCTGGGCCACTTTCGGACTGACAGTCATCAAATAAAGATGGCTCAAGGTCTGG